TTTCATACCTACCTATTATACTTCTATAATATCAACGTATTGTTTTACCGACAGTTATAACTAAGTTACATATATATATATATATATATGTATATGTTATGATGATTAACGATTTATTATGGCCACGGTCAATGTTATTTTTCAGATAATTATTGAATATAATACATAACTATGGACTCCTGTTCAAATATTCAATGTGATTTCTTCTCTCGTAAGCAGTAATTTTTTTTTATTATTATTCTTAGAGCATATTGAAATGTTTACACCAAGTTCCAAATTAACAAAGAAATGTAGATCTTATAATATTACTCAGGTATTGCCTAGTATGAAAATAATTCTTAAAACAAAAAATGATCATCTCCGGTTTAACGCGTTTAACGCGTCAAATAATAGAGAACTAAGACACACACACACACACACACGCACACTTATCACAAACCTTTAGTTTACAATATTACACTGTGTAATAAAAAAATTATAGCACACGTTTTTCGTGATTCAATTAAAATTGTTCATTTCGGTTCTATAAAAATCGTATTATTACGTGTTTCGCAACAAGTGGTTTGTATAGTCAATTTTATTATAAATAAATAAATTATTATAAATACGGATCAGTACAATAGTATTACAGTTGGCAATAAAAACAATACACACGATTAATTAATAATACATTAATTATCCAACTGGAAGGTCGACATTTAGGCCTTATTACTCGACGTGAATAAAATATATCGTATATAAAATCGTCTACCATTGAGATTGAGCCAGCAACTTCAAAATGTACCATATTTTTTGTAAACGAAATGCACACTCTTATACCTACTCAATTCACTATATTATTATTATTATTATACAGTTCATATACCGCGGTTGGTGTTCCGTTTTTTAATTTTTTTTCTTTCTTTTAATCTCTAGTAATTTGGTGATTACATAATATTTTAAACCGACCGACCTTCGTTGAACACCACTCGTTCTCCAACAGCTCTGCAGCCGATCAGTCTGCGTTACCGGCTCGAGGTGCGTATTTCTGAATATTGCTCGCCGACGGAATCGTAAACGAATTTTCATTTGATTGATTACAGTAATCCGACGTGATATAACACCGGCTTTTAATTAAGTACGGTTTTCTGTTTGTTTTTCATTGTTTACTAATGTATAGTATGCGAGTGTTTGACGCAAGCTGGGTATTTTAAATAAAATATTAAACGGTGTCGGTTGTAATAATTGAAGTAGGTAATTAATTTGAAATTTCAAAATCAAGTGATTCTTATACTTTACATAATATAGCGAATATCAGCTTATTTAAATATCATATTTAACCGAGCTGTTGTGTTTCATTGTAATTGGTGCGGTATTATTGGTGTGACAAAATATCAGGTATGCTGACACGCTGTTTTTATAATTTGTAAACATAATAATTACAAGTTACACCCTATAAACAGTAATTATCATAATAATAATATAATTGTTCAATATTATATTTGTTAACAAGTCCGTTTGTTTTTTGTAGTTGCGCGAAGCTAATAATATATAATTTAAAATATACGATAAAAATATATGTACTCGACAGCGCTTATATTATATTTATTTATTTAAACTTATTTTTTTTTGATTTACTTTTTTAAATTGAATAGCAGACTGACAAATAAAATTATTTATTTTTAAATTCATTATTCAAAATATGGACAACCATGATATTTTTAATCCAATTATTTATCAAAACTGTTTACTCTTTTTCTTGCATGTTTTCATAGAACATAGAAATATACATTTATACTTTATTATATTATTATGTACATTCTTATTATGGCAGAAAAATAAAATATTTGAAGAACCGGATAAAATGGAAGAGTGGTTGAAAATAACACTATGTGTAAGTTTGTTTGCAACTTTTCGGGACTTTCGACCAGTGGATTCATTTTATACATCATATTTAACCAGTCCAGCCGTAAATTTTACTGCTGAGCAAGTAAGTTTTAATATAACTTATGCTTTATTATTTTTACAATAACAATCGTGGTTTTAAAATACACTTTTTAACTTTATATAATATTATTATTTTTTCATTTTCGTGTTGTAATAAAAGTTAAAACAAATAAAGTAAAGTTTATTGAAACTAATACGCCATTTTAAACTGATTCATTATTTTTAAAATAATTTTCTTAACTTAGCTGTAACGTTTTGCTATGGTTTATCATTAAAAATAATTATTTTAATATCTATAATCAAGATATTTTCTTTTACGATTTGTAAAATATAGGTACAGTATAAAGTCATTTTTATAAGTACGTTTTAAAACTTGCAGCAAATATTGGTTTTCATATTAAATTCAAAATAAATACCTATAATTGAGAAACGTAAGATAAAAGCACCTACCTATCATATTATATCTGGGTTAGAATCCAGTTTTTAGTTGAATATTATAATATTACAATATTTAGTTGTATATTAAAATTATCAGTGAGAAATCTTCTCACTAGAGTATTTTCGGGCAAATAATTTTTCTTTTCTTGGGCCATTATCTATTACCTATTAAAACTGTCTACTTTTTAAACCATTATTTAGAGGTTATAAAAATCTTATACTCAAACGTCCCTATATTATATCTACCATGTTCTATTACTATTCCGATGGAACAATATTAACATTCATGGCAGACTTTCGTGCTATTTTCAGTAGTCAAACTACTTACCATCTTTTATGTAGAGGATAATTAGTAGGTACTATGGTATATTTATCTTAAATAAAATGGTTATTTTTTAGTTCTGTAATTTTTGCAGATTATTCATAATATTTATAACTGGTTATGACGATTATATTTGGACATATAAATATTATGTATTAAATAGGTAATTTATTTTTATACAACTAGGTATTTACGGCATTTTCTTATAAAGTGTTAATGTTTATTATAAATTGTAATGTCTCTTTAACCATATTTGTTTTGGTTGATTTTCGGGATTGAATACATAATATCAACGGATTATGGTGTTATTTTTTTATAAAATTTCAGAAAAAAAATTATATTATATACTACCTATAAGCAAATAATATAGCATACTAGCTGATCCCGTGCACTTCGTCGCCCGTTAAATATATCAACTCAATATGACTCAAACTTTTTTCAATTCATTATTCAAAATTCGGTGTATGGTGTTCAAAATTTATCTTATCTTTTCCGTTGCCCGGAATAAAAATTCTGAATCGCAGCAGTGCATTATCAGGTAGGCAATCTACCTGCGGTAGATCGCGGACCCCGTGCTGTTTGTACGGAAGTGTATGATTTAACTCTAAAGTATCAAAGTTATACCAAGTTTATTTTGATATAATACTGTGGATTAATATAACAAATTTGGTTGCTCGTAAAAAATCGCAACTCTTAAAAAAATTATGATTGTTGAACTCCTTTTGGGTGTAACTTGCTGCGGTAAGTGCAACTCAGCCAGGCTGGTGGGCAATGTTCAATAATTCGATTTGATGCAAGCTTGTACCTGATCTGTCCGAATAACCAATGGCAACCAATAAATAAATGCTAATTTCTAATGTAGACTGTAACCAATGGCAACTATAAATAAATAAAAATAAAATTTCCAATTTCTATCGTGAATCTCAATGTCCCTGTTTCAGCACCTATTTAAAATACGAATTTTGGGCAAATCCTTTCTTAGCGCACGTCTACATCATAATAGCTATCTGTATGCCAAATTTCAGCCAGATCCGTCCAATGGTTTGGGCTGTGCGTTGATAGCAGTCAATCAGCTTACTGTTTTATATATAAAGAATATGGTTGCCATGGTAATATGGACACACACACATACATTCGTTTTTTTATATATATAGATAAAATATGATCTTATAAATATATTTATAAAAAAAAAAAAAAACAAATTTTTGGGCAACGCCGGGTGGGGCCGCTATAATAGTGTACAATAATGTAATATTATTATATTGTAATGCTCATTGTCAATTGTATTTTTTTCTTATAATTTATATTTTTAAATGTATAAACGCTGATGTGACACTATTCACAAATTAATATTATTTTAAGCAAATACTTATTATTCATGTAGGTAGGTACCTACTAATAATTTATTATAATACTAAAAGTACGTTTATTTTTTTTTTAGGTGACCGAAGATATTTATCCAATAAATTCTTATGCAACCACGAGTCTAATAATTATAATGTTTCTTGTCACAGACTTTCTTCTTTATAAACCAATTGTGATGCTGGACGCTTTAAGTTCAATGGTGATGTTTTTGTTAATTTTGCAACCAGTAACTCTCTTGAAATCAAAAGTAAGTTTAAATTTTCGGATGTTTCGATACCTTTTACGTTATGAAAGTATTTTCAACTAATGTAAATTATTGTAGCTCAACAATACTTAACTAGTGTTAAATGTAATGTTAAATTTTAATATATTAACAGCAATAATAATAAAGGTTAATTTTTTTTTTTTTGAATAATCATTTACTTGAGACGTATACCATGCAACATTTTAGATTCTGAGTGAAGCGATGAATGTGTTTTTTTTATTTTTCTATTTTTGTGTCTGTCATTACCTTTTATGACAGTAAAAATGCTTAGATTTTCTTCAACAGTTTCTTTTCTGATAGGAAAATGAATCTAGTTGGTACTTGGGGGTCAAAAGTAAATGATGTATCTATGTTCGTGTTAATATTTTTTGAAAGTTTAAAAAATAGTTTGGTTAGAAAAATAAATAAATACTATATTTTTTCCAGCTAAGTATGGTATTTTTGGGTCTAACGTCTGCATCCGAACTAGCATACATGTCATATGCGTATGCAAAGATCCGTGACCGCAAGTTATACCAAAAAATGACTGGAATTGTAAGGGGCTCAAATCTTTTGGGAAAGTGTTTATCGTCCACATTTGCTCAAATTGCAGTTTCAGTGTTCCACATTGAATATGGGGTACTCGTGTATATTTCATTAGCGGGTAAGATATTGATAGAGTTAACTGATTTTAGCTATAATTAAAATTTAGTTATTAACTTTGAAATTATTGTATTTCAGGTTCCATCGCAGCCTTAGCTTTTTCATTTTTTCTTCCTCCGGTAAATGTAAGTATATATTTTCATCCTGAAAGTCCTAAAACTGCCAAGCCAAAAGTCAACTACAGTACATTTCACAATCAATGCCATAAAGTAATTATTTATAATGATAATAGTACCTACTTTTGTCTTAATACCTACGCAATACCTATAACTCTAATAATAATATGGAACAATGTATGATCAATGTGGGAAAGAAATATTTGAGAATGTAGTTAATAATATTTATTAAAACACTTTTTTATGTCATGGATATTAAATTACAAACAAAGTTACAAGAAGGTATTAAAATACTTTCATATAATATACAGGCAATTTAGGTACTATTTTTTACTGTATCAAAACAATTATTCAAAACCTGATTTTGGAAAATCAAAATATTTTTTTTCAAATTTTTGATTTTTTTTGTACCTATTAAGGAGTGTCCTGTGGTGTACATACTTCTGTTTTTAAAACGAGAACTCCCCTGTTATACTGTAAATGCTTTTGCAAAAATATAAATTAGATGTAATATTTAATATGGTATTTATTATAATTTGCCCATTTGTAAAAAAATATTAATGTTGAACGTTTTAAATAGGTACTAATCACTAAAATGTTCAAATCACCATAATCCCCATATCTTTTAAACCCGTTATTATGGACATTTTATTATCCTAATCCTTACTAAACAAAGTTCAATAACTCAAAAACTACTAGTACAAATTTTGATTCTGATACGTTAACATTACCAGAAAAATGATCAGTTAAATAATTTAGAGTAAAACTCATTTTCCATTGTAATATGTCAACGGGCTTGGAAGATATGACCCCCTTGTTCTAATTTAAAAATCAAAAATTTGTATTTCCCCTCGACACTCCTTAATTACTACAGAAACCTCAAGAATTTAAAAGTATTGTTCTCATAAGTATATATTATTTTAATAATGTCAAAAATCAGATTTATTCAGAATAACTTTATAATTTAAGAAAAAGGGGTGACCATGCTTGGTGATCACTCATTAGATCTTCTGTAATGATTGCATTTAAGTATATTTTACATTATAATAACACAATTTAGTTAAATTATAAGTTCCAAGTCACAAACATAATTATATTATAATAATATTATTATTTCGAGAGAATTATACAGGGTGTATCTTATGTCATTGTACGCGGGGTTTTTTGACGATTACGGAACGATGATATGGAATTTCGTTAAAACAAAAAAAGACGTGTTTCTTTATTTTTAACGAGCAATTTTTTTATAACAATTTCAAAATTTTTAAACACACAGGTGTACCAATAGCAAAATCAACTTTTTTTCAAATGGTAACTACTATATATTTTAATGGATTCTGGTAAAGCTTTTTTTTCTGAACATTTTGGTAGTCAAATCGTCAATTTTGGTTCAGTAGTTTATTAACTATGGTCCTCCAAAGATTAGTAAAATATGCATTAATACTTTTAATTGAAATAATGGGTATAGGTTTAATTTACAAGCGCTAAACAATTTTTTCTTATACCTAACTACCATTTGATACACTACAACAGTTGAATCGGTAATCTAATGACACCCTAAAAAAAAAAAAAAAAAAATAACAAACACAATTGTTTGTAAACATACTTCATTATTTTGATTTTAACATACGAGCATAAAAATCAATATTATTATTTTAATTTATTATTATAATTGTAATTAATTACTTTACATTTTTTTCATCACAGTTACTTTTCTTACAATATCATAAATTTGAATTCTTAATTAGGTAGGTGGCTAAGGTAATAATGGTAAATTGGTAAATGGTATTCGATTGTTGACATTAATATGTGCAACGAAAAAAGTGCAATTTTTTGTGGTGCTCTTTTCGTATAGTGGTATAAAGTATAAACTTGATATTTTAACCATAGATTCCCTATAATGGTATCGCATCCAAAGTTTGAACTTAGGAGTTGTAATTCATCCCTTTCCATCCTTTTTAGTTTTAGATGTTTACAAACGCAACATTTTATTTAGTACTTTTAATAGTTAATTTAGAATATCATACAATCATAAAATATTGTAAATAATTCAAATTTATGATATTGTAAGAAAAGTAACTGTGATTAAAAAAATGTAAAGTAATTAATTACGATTATAATAATAAATTAAAATAATAAAAATGAAATATGTTTACAAACAATTGTGTTTGTTATTTTTTTTTTTTTTTTTTTTAGGGTGTCATTAGATTACCGATTCAACTGTTGTAGTGTATCAAATGGTAGTTAGGTATAAGAAAAAATTGTTTAGCGCTTGTAAATTAAACCTATACCCATTATTTCAATTAAAAGTATTAATGCATATTTTACTAATCTTTGGAGGACCATAGTTAATAAACTACTGAACCAAAATTGACGATTTGACTACCAAAATGTTCAGAAAAAAAGCTTTACCAGAATCCATTAAAAAATATAGTAGTTGCCATTTGAAAAAAAGTTGATTTTGCTATTGGTACACCTGCGTGTTTAAAAATTTTGAAATTGTTATAAAAAAATTGCTTGTTAAAAATAAAGAAACACGTCTTTTTTCGTTTTAACGAAATTCCATATCATCGTTCCGTAATCGTCAAAAAACCCCGCGTACAATGACATAAGATACACTCTGTATATTTAATATTATCTTTTTAATTTAGTACTTTGAGCGCTCTCTAGCGTCATACCCTACAGCTATATTATCAGATCCTTTTACATTGTCACAAGATGGCATTGTACATTCGTATATGAGTAATAGTCGATGAACACAGGTTTCAAGCTGAATTGAAATGATTATTTTGAAATATTGTTTTAATAGCAATACGCCAATACCTACTCGATTATTATAAAGACGATAGAACTTAAATCTCAATAAGCAGGATTAAAATATTCATGTTCCATGGTTTAAGATAAACAATATTTCATTATTGTATTAATATGACAATATTATTATATAATATTGTGTGCCTATAATATTATTTTTGGCAAGTATAAAAATAATGGTTCAGCAGTTCACTCAGTTGGTTGTTTTTCTTCTTAAGAGGACGCTACACTTGCATGTTTGTCTCTGTCTCACAAACAAGTAACATAACGAATAATTATACGTTCTGAATAATTTATTAAACACAGGTATTAAATATAAGAGCGAATTGACCTAATATCACATTTAGAATCAATAATCTAGGTAGTTAATGACCTACGTTTTTTTTTTTTAATGTTTATTTGAAAGCAAGTTATGAGTATTCAAAACACGATTTAAATTGGTCAGTTTATCACTGTAATGGATGTGCGACTAAATTATCTTGAATCGTGATTGAAAATGAAAATAAAAACAAACCTAGGTCATTAAATAGATAATATTATGCTTATTTCTAAATTTGATAGTAAGTCTATTCACTCTAAATTGATTAAACACAACAATCAATAAATTATGCAGAACTTACAAATTATGCAATTTTATGCGTTTGCTAGACGTCGACAAATCGTGCTGGTTAGGTTAGGTTAGGTTAGGTTAGGTTACCTATATCGCTATATTACTTTACTATACTTATAATACGTTAAGGCACTAATAATAATAGATATTGTGCAAACTGTGGAAAATAATATAAACATAACCAAAATTGTCGTGTTATAAACTTATTGGTAGGTACAATAGTTTATACTACAGTAGGTACGTCCATACCTATAGGTACAAATAAAAATATAAAACAAATCACAATGTTATACAAAAAATGTATCAGTCGACTTGGACAAATAAATCGGTTTTTCTCATGAGAACGTCCGTGCGGATGTTTTGCTGTTTAGCTCATCACCCCAATTCATAAATTTGTCAACAGTCGAGTCCTTATCGACACAAAATACCATAAAACTTCCATCGGACAACCTTAAACGCCAACATAAGCCAAAGGGTGAGATTGCATCGTATCGCGTATTCAACATGCAATGAATAAAATCGGCCAATCAAATGCAACTCCATGTATAGGTACCACTGTATAATATGATTCGATAAAACAATATAACTTGCCTAAATCCATTTGGATCATAAAAAAATAAATATTTATTTGAGCCTAAATGTGAATTTGATGTTTTCCGAGTGTTCTCTAGTATTTTTGTAAACCGATAATATATCTAGAAATGAAATACTTATATTTAACATATAATTTCGTTTGTCAATTTTAATAATTATTATTTAGTACCTACAAATACACAAGTATAATATATAAAACAATACAATTTTTACATTTCACAAAAGTTTGGAGTTAATAAAAAATGACACTTATAATAATATAATCATATCATATTATACCACTTATGTATCTGTATTCAAAATAATATTTATATTTTGAATTCACTACGATTATAAATAATTAAGTTTATTTTTTTTAAACACGGAGAAAAATGATTGAAATCGAATGTTTTCAAGATATTATTATTCTGTCATTCTGTATCAACATCATAATTTCAGACTATTCAAATGTATAACTTAAACTTCATAACGAAACACAGACAGTGATGCGAAATCAATTTTCAGCTATAGGTTTCAAAATAGGTAGGTTGTAATATTTTTCAATATTTTAAGACTTTTATTATTTTCTCGTATTTTTAACTATTGGCACAACGCATATTGTTGAATTATGTTTTAGACTTTAATCCGTAAATTTAATATTACGATAATATCGATAATATACACTATGGTGATTGTTTGAAGGTTTTCTCCCAGGAAAATCAAAATAAGGGGGACAAAGTAAATTTCCATCGTTTCTTCAGTTTATTTGCAACGTCGAGTAATCCGTCAATTAAAACTTTTCCAGGAAACAAAAGACTGCTTGTCGATGATAGTAATTATTTCCAAAAAGCTTTCATCCCATGGTTGTAGTTTTGACATTTATTAATTAAATTGCCCATCACAAGCGAAATTTTATTTCCTTGTTTGTGCTAAGACTACAAAAGGAGAATATAACGAAGGATTTAGGGCGCGAGTGTTGACGAATTGTCATTTCCGATAGTTTTAAAAACGATTGATATTTCCTTGTATTTAATTTGTTCACAATTCGACCGAAATCGCAACATGACATCGCATTTTGACCAGACATTAGACGCGTATACTTACTCGCGTCTATTTGATGATATCAAAACGATAATTATATTGTACTTGTCACTGTCACAGGACCTTGGACCGTGTTTGGTTGAAAAATCTCCAAAGACCGTTCGAGTGGTATTTGATCAGCTGCACTCAGAACTGAGGGACGCGTACACCAATCCGTATCTACTCAATTACGGTATATGGTTTGCCTTCGCCACCGGAGTCTATTTCCAGGTGATTTAAAATAATACTCAATTTCAACAGAGGTACCTTTTTTCCTTGTAAAAGTCACGTCCAACAAAAGCGTATAAAATAGTCGCGAACGGCGTACCTATTTAATAAATGTTAAACGTCACATTTGTAGTGTACATTTATAACTGTGTAATGTGTCCCGTATTAAAAAATATATTTAATTATGATAATAATAATAGTCCGTAATCATTAATATTAATATTGTTAGTGTAAAAAAAAACAAAAACAGCGAAGTCGATCTGCTGTTTAATAGGTCCCTCATAGGCCAGTGTGACGGATAATATGTTAAATTCAAATTCAATGATAAATCATGATAGGTACTCGGTGGTTCTAAGTGCAGAAGACGAGAGGATCAGTATCTATAAGGATGATATTGTATAATACTACTATGAATAATTGTCTTTTCTAATACTAATATTACTTATAGTTTGTTCAACTAATTTCTTCAAAAACATTGCATATTATATCACATCGTATAATATTAATATCATTAACTTATATTAGTACATTACGTAATGTCAAAAAGTTTCAAGTCTCTTTTTTTTTTTTTGTCGACAACTAATTTTGCATAAGTTTTCCCGTTTTTTTAGTAATTTTTTTTTTGTTTTTTTCTGACTATTTGATAAGTACTGTACATTTTTTATTTTCCACGGTCAAAGTACCAACTAGAACCAATTTTCTACCATAAACTACCGTAGATTCAGAGGATTGAAGCATTTATAGCTTATACTGTCCCTAAAGGTGACGACGAATACAAAAAAAAAAAATTAAATAAATAGGTACATCGCTTTAGCTGCAATACCAACGCATTTAAAATTATTAGTCTAATACAAAATAAATGTTAAGTTATTTGACATTTGGTTGAAAAAAACCATCTTTTTAAAACCCTATGTTACATCTCAAGTTAAAAATTGTATTATTCTTATAAAAAATAACATGTCGTATGTCAAGAAATACAATATGATGAAAGTTTTAAAACTTATCGTCGTTTTTTTTTTTATTACTTACTCGATAACAACGACTGTGGCTAATTAAATTAGTAGGTTATACTTACCCAAAAATTTCATAGCTGAAGTATAGCCCGTGAAGAAAACGTACGATCAAAATTTGTTATCATCAAATTTTTACATTCGCCACTACACGCCATCATAACAAGTTAAATTGGTTTTTTTTTTATATCAACAAGGCGTGCAGCTGTTACGTGAACTATAATATGATTTGACTTTTCGGCAGATTTACAGGTGATGACGTACAATGACGTTCTTTACTTGAAATTGAACGAACTCAATCCGGTCAACAACAAGTTGTACAACGGCGGAGTAGACGCTTTGGCTTTCATATGTGGTAAGTTAAATTTTACACGCCTCACACATAGGTAATAATTACGTTATTCAGACTATCATCGTTACTGTCTTGCTGCGATTATTTGGCGAGTAATACATTTTAGGTTTTATTTTGGTGCCAAAGTGTTTCCACCTTGTTTTAAAATCATTATATTTAATATAGATATAACTCTTTAGTGCCTATTTTACAGTTTATAAATGTAGGTATGATAGATTAGGCTATGAGAATTAAAATTTAAGGGCCTAAGAATGACTTATTTGGACTTTGTTTTTCGTTTTGATATTCTGATGGGAAATTTTCTATTTCGGTCATTTCTTAATGAAACAATTTAACGATTAGGACTTTTGTTCGTGCTCCATGAATCATGGTTGTAATTTGTACAAACGACAACATTGTACCATGCACACATTTTTTATTTATTATTATTTGTTGACGGACCACAATAAATATTTATTTGAAAAACTATAAAATAAATACAAAATACTACTCAATATTATATTATTTCGAAGGTCAATGAAGGAGTTTTTCAAAAAATGTAAGTAAATCCAATCTTTGAACACCCCCCCCCCCTCCGCACACACCACCAACCGAAAAATAAAATTACGTGCCTGACAACAATTATTATAATACTATGGTACTATGTGTTTTCGATGTGTCCATCAAGTTAGTTAAGTTAATTTTTAGGATGGGGGCAAACTGAAACCAAATTCTCCAACATATTTATAATCTAGCTCATTGTATAGAGGAAGTTACTGAAACGCATTTCAGTAAAATTATAGCTCGTTAGTATTTATTTTTATTTTTATGAAATTGATTTGGCCAAACCATTATTTTAATTAAAGTATTAATTAATAAGTAATAACTTCACAATAATCATTACACATGCACAGTTATAATAACCATTGTAATGATTATTATGCTTAATGATTTTTTTTTATGTATAATTAATGAAATATTATTAAACTGTGAACTAAGATCACGTGGGATAACAATGTTATTTAATATATTTATGTAATATTTTATACTATACGCTTATGTAAGATCATTAAATTCACTATAGAAATTAATAAATACTATCACAAAAATGACACAATAAAAAAATGAAAAATCATAAGAAAATATTATGAACGTTTTTTTTTTTTTAGTTATGGAAAATAAAGATTTTATAATCAAACATAATAAATCAAAGTTTATGTATGTGCATATATTTATTATGTATATGTTTGTACTTATGTACTCTTATATTATATTGAAATATTATATGAACACGTTTACTGTTTATGTCCAGAAATATTGATTTTAGGTTGCTGTACTTTAACACGTGGATAAAAATATTTCAAAACAGTTTAATTGAATGGGTGTACTTAGTATTTGTAAATTTTCCATCTATTTTTAATAAGATTACTAATTTTAAATAGTTTTTTCTATATATTTAAAGTAATTTTTGGGGCTTATAAGCTTGCAATGATTGTCTACGAATATTCAAACTGATAATACATTTAAATATAGGTAAAATATATTATAATTTATTTATTAAAATAGTAATTTATATATCTTTGGCCTAATTCGCAAAGGTCGTATGTCCAAAATTACAAATTGTTCAGGAGAAGAAAAAAACGTTTTACGGCCATATTATTAATTGGAGATACGACGATTTCTAATTATCAATTTCATGGAGGATAATATTATGAAATCGGAAATTTGATTGTATCAACAGACACAGTTTTTTTTTCTTTATTTTATGAGTAAATAATCCCAAAATGACAAAAAATGGAGATACGACTTTTGCGAATTAGGCCGACGATATATGACATGCTATTAATATTATCATATTAAAATATTTTATTGGGAATCAAAATAGGTATATAATAATATTATAATAATTAATGAATAAAAATAATAAGATAATAAAATATTAGTGTTTGTTTCATCAAATTTTTTTAAGTAGGCTTAATTTTTTAGTTATAAAAGTGACAACAAATCGTCTTTTTAAAATAGTATCAAATTTGTTTGTAATTAATATATTATTTACTAAGATCCGTAAAGAGTTATCAACTCAAATTAGATAATAAAACATATTTCGATCATAGTAATTGTATTTATCTATTTCTTCTAAATATAATTCCAGGTGCATTGTCTTCATACTTCATAGGGTTTCTGAGGGTTGATTGGAAATCCACAAGTGATTTATTCTTCTTTGTCGGCTCACTTTTGAGCTGCATAACGCTGTGTGTCTGCTACGTGACAACATCATTAAATTTGGTATACATAATGTACATCATGTTCTGTTTCGTATTCCAATCGATGAATGTTGTGGCCAGGTACTATTAAACTAAGTTATTTAACATGCTATATTTTGTACTTATCGATTTCTGTGTTTTCTAGGTCCGAAACAGCTAAACATTTGAAGCATGACAGTTTTGCTTTCATTTTCGGCGTCGTATATTTTATTTCATTAGTTGTGTCAAGTGTCATTACATATTTATTTGTTCAAGGTACTATTATTGCGGTTCCAGTAAACTTACAGGTAATTGTAATTGTTAAATACAAAACCAAGAAATAATAATTAGTCAATAATACGTAATTGGAATTTCGTTTGACTACAAAGATTATTGAATCCTTAATATTATCTACAAACCACTAGTTAGTACTCAGTAGTAGTCATTGACCCATATTTAAATAATCTGTAATATAGATATCTTAAAGGTAATCCAATTCTATAAAAATAACTAATTGACACATCTGACTTTTTTGAAGAATGTCAGTGTCTATATTATATTTTTAACCGTAAAAACGTATATTAAGCATTTTAACCAAAACAATTCATGAAATGTTGGAGTTTTTTTCTTTTATACATATTATAAAAACCATTAAGAGATACATATAATAATAATAATAAATTACTTGTGGTTGAATATTGAATTTATTATTGATAACCATTCATTTTTAGATTCTGAGCAGGATGATGAAGTATTGGTTTTTGTGTCTCTGACGTCCCCTTTAGGAGCAGTATAAAGCAATAAAAGGGGGTTGCTGTTAGTCATTTTGATCTAGTTGACGCTTAGGGGGAGGGGGTCAAAATTATCCAGTAGTTTTCAAAATAATCGAGAAAAACTAAAAGAAATTATACTAAAAAAGGTATAGTTCCGCAATATGAGTTTTTGACAAAATTGATTTTTATTATTTTATTACAAATCAAACATATAATTTGGAGAGACATGACATTTTTATGAAATGTTTAAATATGATGTCATTTTTAAAATGTGTCAACTCGTTTTGTTTTTTTTTTTTATTTAGACTTTGAAACTATCTATTTTGTTTAGTTTATATTGTTTGATCATGTTGATAACATGTTAGGTTGTAAGTCAAAAACATTGAAAATTAATACATGATTTGTTATAGTATGTTGCCCTAGCAGCAAAAAATAGTACAACTTACTATACAACTAATAGAAAAACAAATTACTTACACCCAGTGATATTTATTCATTTTAATATGTATTTACCTATAGAAATAGTTTCCGCTCAGAATCATTTTGAAATTACTTTTTTAAACAATGCGAACACTTTTAGTCTGCATGACATCTGACCAATTCAGGGAGGCACATTCAAATCATATTCAATTTTCCTTGTTTCCTAATATACACATTAAATTAATAATATATCAACTGTGTACGTACTACCCACATAGCAAATATATAGCTATACTAGGTACAATGTTTGTATCCTAACAGTGCAAACACAGGTAGAAAATACAACTTTTGGACATGAATTCATTTTCATTAATTGTTTTATTTTTGTATTAAGATTATACTTTTAAAATACTATACTTTAATCCATGTAATTTACTTGATCTATAAAACCGTAGGTATTAAATTGGTTTGTTCTAATATCACACTAAATAGTAATTTAATACAATTAGGTAGGTAAATTATCAATATTATCTATTTATTTTTTTTAAAAGTGTTACAAATCAACAATCGTTTAGTACATTATCTTAGAATTAATATTATTTCTCAGAATGTGTTAAATATTGAATCATATTATTATAATCTTAATGGGTATAAATTAAATATCTTATCACCTATTAAAATTTAAAATTGTATTTTATGTTGTAATGAGTAAGTATAATATTTTATTTTGCAGTTTCTAATCTATGGATTGATTAACGGCGGACTTGCTATTTGGTTCTTTTTTCGAATGTGTAAAAAAAAATTGTACAGTTAAATAATTATACAATTGTAAATATTTTTTATTTTTTTTCACTTTTTATTAATATAAAAATGTTGTTTTATTGAATATAATATAATATAATACAATGATAACAAGAATAATATGTAAGTTATTTAATTTAGTAAATATTTGTATATTATTATAATAACTATCAATACTATAATATACTGAAATTATCATGTTGTTTGTTCAGTTATCGTATCATTTGATACTTAAACAGTTGACCTACAGATGTATCATTTTCCTAATTCAAACTATTTTTACCACACATTATATAGGAAAAAACTTTAGAGAGGAGGATAGTGGTTCATAAATAATAAGTAAAAAAATAACTCCCCCATAACCCCCCCCTGGTTGCGCCACTGATTACGATCAATATTATAATACAATTATTAACTGTTATAAAAATATATTATATTATACATTTGACTCGTATATTCAGTAATAGAAGTAATTATATTTAAAGAAAATTGGATGTGTGTAGTGGCTATACTCGATGATATAATAATAACCATAATTATTATTTGCTAACTAACATGAAGCCGTTAGAGGCCCGGGGACCCAGACTTAAATTAAAAAAAAATTATTATTATTATTATATAAGTACTAAAGTTTATTTTGCAAAAAAAACGCAGTATTAAACGATCCTTCTTAGTGACAGAAAACAAAAATACATGTAGATTATAATCATAGTGCATTCTGAATGAACAAACATATTTTGCATTTTTATAGAATTTATATACATGAGCGCATATAATTTTCTAGTATGTTTGTCCTTTGTGTACTGTTTGTTCACTCAGTCAGCCAAACACTGTCTCGGTATGATATAGCAACGATGCGTAAATATAAGACCATCGCTATTGGGTTCAGGCAATATATTTTTAAGACTTAGAGTGAATCTAATGCATAATAATTCTATTTCAGCATAATATGCACGTTGGATATTATAATTATAGGATGTCACATAATTATGAGAATATTTTAAAATTTAAAGATAACATTTAAATTATTTTTAGACATTAGTTGACTATTTTTACCTAAAGTACAACAATGAGTTTGGATACTTTATAATCATAGACCCCGAGTGGTGACTATAGTTATTATAGTAATCTATAATTTCACTTTTCCTTATGGAATATAATGTTAAAAAATGTATTGGAATTAAAATATGGTTACTGTAAATAAAATCTTTATCAGTCGAAGATCTTAGGGTTCTTTTCACTGAATTAATATTAAAAATATATTATATCGAACATGCTTTATATACATATTTATAATATATACCTATTACCTATCTATAATATTTTAAACCTACAGGCTACAAAAATTATTTGTACAATATTATATTTGAACACAGTTCGAGGAAATTTAAAAGTCTGATTATATTAACTTTGGTTTTAGTTCTTATATTAGCTCTTATTTTGTTTGTAAAGTGTCTATCAAGTTTTTGTAATTTTTAGTAGAAATGTTTTATTAACTTTTTTATATCTAATCAGATGATTTATATTTGATATCCGGTGCCATAATGGATACGTATATTATGTTAGGTACCCCACTGACCTTCTAGACACGTTATAATGTTGTCCATAATAGTTTATAGATAACAATCAAATATAAAATTATAAAAGTAAAAAAAAAACCCCCCAAAAAATGCCGATATTGCTTATTTGTTACGGTTTTATTTTGGTAGTTTGCAGGTCAAACATATTGATGATCTATACTCGTATTTTACATTTTTATATTCAATTACGTTTTTTAATTTGTTAATATTTGTGTACAATGTTAGTATTTGTCTTTTTTTTATATTTTAAATTTAAATCCCAAAGCTGATAGTGTATGACTAAGTCCATACAATTTAAATACAAAATAAATTAATAAATTAACTTAACGTTTTAATTACCAACCAGTCTAATGCTGACCTACAAAATACATTTAAATACTCGAAAGATTCCAGGTTTTCGGTTCTTAGTTACTAATGACTTAAGTCAAAACTGTATAGTTTAGTTATTGATTAAAGTTTAAGTGGAAAAATGCATTGAAATTTGTAATTAAATTTATTATCGTTCCTCTTTACATTGAACTGAATTAAATAATCAATTTAATTGTTAAACCAATTATTTTTATTATTTCTAACAGTAATCCAATGCGATTTGATGAAGCCAAAACCGATTGGAAATTCAGATATGGGTAATCTAATAACTAGAGTAACCACTCTATATTACGCAAGGGTTTAAGTCACATGCAAGTGAATCAACATTTTTGTTAACTTCAATATGTTAATTGTTAAAAAAAGTCACTCTTGAAATGGACGTTTCACGTTCGGCTATATATTTTTTTAAATTACAGAAAAGTTATTCCGAACAAAAGTCTTAAGCTGTATACTAGTATTATATTCCAGAGTTTATTAAACTACTTTTGAATTTATAAATTAAACAATAGTCGTACAAGCTCACGCAATCTACTCAAATGTCGTTTCAGTTAAAGTGATGTAAATATTTTATTTCATTCTGCCCGTTCTAGAGGGAAATGTCGATCTAGATATTATGAATAATTTCAGTACATTTTGAAAAGACATATATAACAGAATATAATTTATTATTTTCTAACAAACACATTCGCAAATACAATGATTTGTATTAATAAAATAAATACAAATTCAAATTATAAAAATATACACATGTTGTACTTAGGAATAAATTATACTATAGACCACCTATACGCATAGGTACATTATGAATTGTTCGTCAGTCTTTTTTAATATTCAAATAGTATCATATTTGAGTGGTAAGAATAAAACATCACTTCTAAATAGATTGGACTGTTGACACGAATTGCATGTGAAATTTACCATAACACCTCCCCACTAAGGATATAGTATAAAATAAACAGATATATTGTATATTTGTATAGGATTTTCGTTTATATGACCAATCCGGGTTCCAATCACGAATATCACACAAATTTCTGTTACATGTTTATTTATTTAAATACCACGGAGTGGTAAATACAATTGTAGTATTGATGATATTCTATTTTTAGATTACATTTCGATGGTCACGATGGATTACGAAAAGAAAAAAAAAACAATAATCTAGTCATTTGAACACTATCATATATTTTAATATTCACGATTGTTCGAATAAGAACAAATAAAATAACAGTTTTAGATTCTGAGCGATATTGTTATTGATTTTACAATATGTGTGTGTGTGTGTGTGTGTGTGTGTGTAGGTGTGTGTGTGTGTGTGTGTGTGTGTGTGTGTGTGTGTGTGTGTGTGTGTGTAGGTGTGTGTGTGTGTGTGTGTGTTTATTTTGTGTCTCCGTCACCTTTTGGGGAGTAAAATGTCTACTTTATTTTCTACTTCAGCATATTTTCTGTAGGAAAGTGAATCTAGTTGGTACTTTAGATGAGTCAAAATGTCCATTGAATTTCAAAAGCGCCGAAAAAAAAAAATATGGAAACGGAGATTCACAAAGCAAGTTTTTAACAAATCGATTTTGGTTTTTTTGTAATTCTAAAAAAATAACCATAAATACATGAGAGCTTCGCCGAATATTACCATTTTTCATATACCTAACAATTTTAAAACGTTTTGACGTCTACTGTGCCATTTATAGGCATAACAAATTTTCGATTTTTATTAGTTTTTTTTTTAAAATTATTATCGATAAAAAATGTTTTATTCTGTTAAAAAATTCAGAAAATTAATACAAGGTTCCTTAGAGGTAATTGTTAGTGGAAATAAAAAATAAAAATTGAGCGTAAATCCACAATATTTTTTATGAGCGTCTGAAGTATATTATGAATCTTGATTAACTCGTCAAAATCACAAAAATGTGTAAACTGTGTTGTTTCTATTTGTATCAAACATTTCAAAATTCAATATAACCTAACCTAACCTAAAAAAAGTTTAGCAGAAGATCAAATTAATTGTTTTGGAGCATATTTTAAAGTGATTTTTTTCTATACAGTATATTCACCTGTAAATTGATGAAATCCTATCAAACGGTTTTTATATTTTTCTAAATTAATGACTGTAGATACTTAAAATTATTCTCGAATGTTTATTTTATTATTTTTTAAATATGATACAAATTCCAAAATAATTTGATTCGTTTTGAGTTACTTACTATATTTTCAATTTTTCAATTTTTTAGATTTTTGTACTACAGATATCAATAAAAATGGGCTACAACTCATTTGCACACATTTACCTTTTTTACAAATCATTTGCTCACAAAAACATAACTCATTTGAGCACAATTTACGAACATTAGAAACCTTTTTTCCAAGAAATTTATCTAAGTATAGGATGTACATAATCTGCGTACCTCCATATTTTCGAGTTGGTCAACACTGATAGTGGACAATTATTATACTCAAACTACACTTTCCTTCACCCTTTAAAAGGCTAAGGACTTTCTGTCTTATCATATTCTGATGTTATAGCATGGAGGGTTCAAAAATGTTGTTTTAGCTATTTATTTTAGAACAGCTTCCTTAGAAAGTAATTATTCACAATTTCGTCTAATTACAAATTACAAATTAATAAATTATGTACAATCATTTTTACAAAAAGTCATTAATATTTACAAATTACACAAATTACAGTTAATACATATTTAATATTTATTGGTACGCGTTTGAGTCAATAATGTTAAAAGATCAATTTTTTTAGATTTGTAATCAGAATATATTTTTTTTCATATAATTTTGTTTTTTTTTCATAATTCTATTCTACGGGTATTTTATTTATTTTTTTATAATGAATTTATTTTTAAAATCAGTATCGGCTTGAGTATTTGAATAATTTGGTGAATTCGAGGGTGGGAGGTATAAAATTGACTATTGAAGTGCATGTGAAAGTTTTAAGCTCCTTTCGTTGTTCTTGGGCTATCGTCTGGTTCACTAGCCCAATTAAAGGGTGTTCATTGATATCAATAATATTGAACGTGTTGGGCAGTTTAAAGACACTCTGTACACCCAAATCTGT